AGGACTGCATCGTTTGCCGTTAGCCCACACGGCCCGTGTGCAGTTCTTTGTTGTTCCCAAATAAACCCATTTTGCTGGAGAAATACCTGGCTGTTTATTTGTTTAAGGTCAACAGAAGAAATAAGTAAGTTGGTGGGAATGGGTGACATGTGAGGGGCTGAGGATTATTATGACCTGTCGTTTGTCAGAGCTATTTCAAGAAAATTGAGAGTCCCTACATATTAAAGCCACGGCATATAGATTCTCCCCAATAAACGTGTGTTCCCCAAAAGATCACTACTCTATGTCTACATCGCCTGCACTAGAAGCCCACTTTTTTTTTTGGTATCCACTTTTCCTATAGAGATGAAGATGTTATTCCTTCAAGGGAGCCACTAGCTAGGCTACTGGGAGTGAAACACACTCACACACACCACACACACACCCCTCACACTCACACACACCACTCACACACACACACCCCTCACACTCACACACACACACCCCTCACACTCACACATACCACTCACACACACCACACACCACACATACCCCTCATACTCACACACCACACACACCACACATACCCCTCACACTCACACACACCACACACCCCCCTCACACTCACACACACCACACACATCCCTCACACTCACACACCCCACACACACCCCACACACCCCACATACTCACACATACCACATACACACCACACACTCACACACACCACACACCACACACACACCACACACTCACACATACCACATATAGACCACACACTCACACACACTCACACACACCACACACACACACCCCTCACACTCACACACCCCTCACACTCACACACACCACGCACACACACCCCTCACACTCACACACTCACACACACCACACACCACACACATCCCTCACACTCACACACCCCACACACACCCCACATACTCACACATACCACATACACACCACACACTCACACACACCACACACCACACACACCCCTCACACTCACACACACACCCCTCACACTCACACACACCACACACACCCCTCACACTCACACACACCACACACACACATCCCTCACACTCACACACACCACACACACCCCTCACACACACACCACACACTCACACACACACACACTCACACACCACACACACCACACACCACACACACACACAGTTTGGAGCAGAGGCTGCTCTGACCAGTCTCAGTAGCTAATACTCAATCTTACACCTGAGCCTCCAGGTACCCGACTTCGCCCTTGCACTTCAGCAGAATCTTGGGACCTTTGAGGAACTAGGGGCCCCTCGAACCCGAGTGTGGGAGCTGTGAGTGCCCTGCAGCTGTGTGTGTGTGTGTGTGTGTGTGTGGTACTTTGCTCAGCAGGCAGCAGGCAGGTGCTCATTCCCTCAGGAATCTGGCAGCTGGGGGCATGCGTGTCTGACAACTGTATTTTCCCTGGTCTCCATACTATTTACTTTAAAAATGTTTTATCACAGAAAATATTGACATAAAGAAAAGGAAAAAAAAAAAAAAAAACCCTACTAATGAACCTCCAGGCGCCCATACAACGGTTTTCATTGCTGTCCATATTTCGTCCACCTTGTTTTCTCCATCTACCACTTTTGGGTGCAGGGGTGGGAGAGAGCATGCTGGAGATTTTAAAACTCATGCCAGACTTCCTGTCACTTCACTCCCTACATAATTTTTCTGCCTCAAACCAGTTGCCCACTGAGGTGGGCAGAGCAGTGGCCCCCAGATGCCCCTGCCCCCGTCCTCAGAACCCGTGGACATGCTGCCTTACGTGAGGAAGCACCCTGGCTGTCAGGATCAAGTTGCAGACCTCGAGATGGTGAGATTACCTGGATTCTCTCGCTCAGTCCATGCACTCACATGGGTCCTAACAGGGAGGCAGGTGACAGGGACAGAGGCAGAGGGAGAAAAGGCAGCCTCTAGGTGCTGGAAAAGTCCAGGAAATGGACTCTCCCCTACAGCCTCCAGATGAAGCAGCCCTCCCAACACCTTGATTTTCGGGTTTCTGACCTCCAAACTCTAAGGAAATAAACGCCACGGCGTTAGTGGGGATTTTTTAGAGCAGCAGTAGGAAACTAATACACTTTTAAAAACAGGGAAGTTGCCCTGGCCGGGTGTCTCAGTTGGTTGGAGTGTCATCCCATACACCAAAAGGTTGCAGGTTCGATCCCCAGTCAGGGCATGTTCGGGAGGCAACCGATCGATGTTTCTCTCTCTCTCTTTTTCCCTCTTCCTCTCTCTCTCCCCCTTCCTCTCTCTCTAAAAATCAATAAAAACATATCCTCAGGCAAGGATTAAAATAAATCGAGACATAAAGATAGGGAGAATTCATATTAAAAGTGTAGATTTATGGCTTCCTTTGAGAAATTGGAGATTTGGCGATGCTGTGCCCACCGTCTTTCCTGGTAACGATAGGGTAAAAATAAGCTAAAGCCGAAAAGAAGCTACCTCAGAGTGGGACTTCTTTCTTACCCCTGGGCAACTGGATATGTGGCTTCTTGTCCAGAAGGTTCTATGGTTAATATAACCACTATAACATTGCTGAAAGCGTGTACTTTGAATCCAGTGGTTTCTAAGCCATGAGCTGAACGGGTCAGGAGCCACTGAACTTCCTGGTGAAGCAAATACCTAGAAGAGTTTGGTCATTACAGATGCCCAAACACACTTTCACACCTGTGCATAGCTCTTGACATGTGGGTGAGTCTGAGATCCTGCCACTGGAAAGGTCTGCATTGTACTATTGGTGCTGGCTGGTGAGGTGTCTTTCGCAGACTTCATGTTGTTGTTGAAGAATGATGCCCAGTGGGGTGGACTTTGAAATGACTGCTTCCAGGCGAAGTCAGTGGATCCAATCTGACTAGTTAAGTAGATCGGCACTTCGGGGGGATTGTTTGTGGCTTCCCCGGTCTTGTTTAATGAGCTGGAAAAGTAATTCACTAGAGGCTGGAGAAAGATGGACTCCAAACCTCACAACCACTTCATGCGTTGGGACTGTAACTTAGTCGCCTGGTAGGGTCTGGTGCATTTCTTTCTCTAACAATTCATGCGGAGCTCTGGACGATGCTGTTGTTTTGCCGGGAAATGAAATAGGCTTAAATATTCATAAAATGCATAAAGGGAGAAATAAACCAGGCCACCATTTACCGTCCAGTATGAATAGCTTCACGGGGGCTTTCTTCCTTCCAGAAAAGGAGGCTTTATTTGGACTTGTTGAAGGAGGGGCATTCAATAATAAAGGTGATCACCGTGTGACAGATTCTTGGGAGAACTTTGGAAAGGATCCAAGGAGAACGCATTGAGGTTGTCAGCAACAAAGATATTCTGGGCTTGCCTTATATTTTCTCCCAGGGAAGATCGTCACTTTGTTATATTGTTGCCGTTTCCAAAGCACACCTCTTTTCGACAACTTTAGAAATCGGGGAGTCTGCCGTGGTTCCACTACCCTCCGTTTCACGAAGGACTTGCCATCTGCCAGGTGCTGTCCCCTTTCGCCTGCCTGAGCACTGTGGGCACGTCTCCTTAGCTGGCTCTGAATACTGCTGATTCTGCACCGTGCCAGGCATTTAGACATCTTAACCCAATCCTCATAACCACCCTCTGGTCTAAGTGCCGTTATGTCCCCATTTTACAGAAACAAAAACTGAGATACAGAGATTCACTGACTTGCCCCAGATCCCACAGCTAGCACATTGTGGAGCTGTGATTTATGTCCAGGTATTCTAGCTCCAGGCCAGCACTCTTGGCCACTGTTGTATACGCTGTTCTCCTTATCAGTGAGGAAGCAGAAGCCCAGAGAAGAATTGGCCCAAAGTCTCACAGATAATAAATAATGGAGCAGGGACTCGGACCTAGGCAGCCTATAAAATGACAGAACCTACAAAGCGCATCGCTTCCACCACCTGCACATCTCTGCTTTGATCACTCATTCCTAAAGCCGCACAGACCTTCCACCTCAGTGCAAGGGAAAGGGAAGGAGTTCGCGTTATTATTTATTTAGCTTACTATCTGGTTTAATTCTGAGTAGATTTTGGGTAGTGGTTTGTTGCAAGAGGGTTGAATTTTCACTGAGTTGGTTGCCAGTCTCACAGGCCATCTTAACCTCCTCTGGAGCAGCCCTGCTGAATCTTTAACAAGTATAGGAATCATTCGAAGATCTTGTTAAAATACAGATTCTGATTCAACAGTCTGGGATGGGCCCGAGCAAGCTCTCAGGTGGTGCTGATACCCCGGAACGTGATCCCTGCTTTGAGTTGCATGGCTAGAGCTTCGAGTTTTTCCAAACCAAGCATCAGGATGCATCCCAGGGCCCAGATTGGAAGCAGGGCGTTTTCATAGCCAGAAGAACGTCTAGGGGGTCGGATACGATCTGAGCTACACAGACTACCAAGATCGGCAGGGACTTTCAGGGTCATCTGGTCCAGTCATCCACGTGATGCTTGGATCCTCTCAGACCCCTCCCTGCTGGGTCATCTCAATCCTTGCGTTAAAGAATTATCTTCAGTGAAGAGAACTAAACATTCTAGAACAGGAGGGTGCCTGCATCGCAAAAACAATCTAAGAGTGAGAGACGGGGGAGGAGTCTGTGACCGCTCATACTTGTTCAGACAGACCTTTGCCTTTGGATATTGATTCCAAAGCGTGCAAGCCTCCCCGTTTCATGAGAAAAGTGGTGTCGCAGGCATCCGCGCCCCCCACAGAACAGCATTTCCAGTGCCGCCTGGCGGGTGAGAAACTGGGGCAGCTGCCTGGCCGCTGGGCTGGCTGCTGCTTGGCGGCGTTGACTATTCATCCCAGGGCGCTGAGAAAACCTATCTCCACAGACTGAGCAGCACGAGACCATGAGTGGTTTCTTCTCACGGTAACCTTGCGATCTGATCCGAGAGACATTCCCCCCGTCGGGTCTCTGGTGCAGGGGATGCCCACGTCGCCTCGCCCACCCTTTCCTGAGGCTGCCGTTTGCCAGTTCTCTGCTTTCTCCGTTTCAGGTGCCCGGGGAGAGCGAGAAGCAGTGGAAGCCGGCCCTGGTGGTTCTGACCGAGAAGGACCTTTTAATCTATGACAGCATGCCCCGGAGGAAGGAGGCCTGGTTCAGCCCGGTTCACATGTACCCTCTTCTCGCCACCAGGTAGCCGTGACTTTGTGTCTGTGGTTTGAAACTGTTTCAGTCGAATGCATTTCGTTCAGTACCTTATATGACTGTGTACCACTGCGGCAGGAGAACCACCCGTTTTTAGCCAGATTAGTTAGCAATGATGGCCGAACATGGGGCAGCGCAGAGACAAAGAACAAAGTGCTCATCCGTCCTGAAGGCACGGTGACGCCTGTGAGGAGGTCCCAGCCTAGTCGCCTCCTGGCTGTGCACCCCATCCCCTTGGAGATGAGCTGTGCACATGTGTTTACAATCCTGAAGTTCAGGAAGAAAGAAGGATCAAGCAAGTGCCTTCCCTGGGGAGCACAGAGAATGTCATAGGTGAATGTCCCGCTGTGCTTTGTACAGCTGGCTTAGCCCAAGTCTCCACGACCAGCTTCTCCCCAGCTGTGTGATGCTTCCTGTGGAAGTGGGGCTGCCCGGGTCCATCTGTTCCTGAGGACCTTCCGTGTGCATGATTGCTCGGGTGACGTGCTATCTAAATGCATCATACGCTCACCCCCTTCTTTGAAGGCCTATATCCTGAGCACAAAAGCTTGTCAAACCTGGTCTCACCTCCAAGTAGCTGACAACTCCCAGACCTGGCTTCTTGCCACCTCTTTCTGTACATGCTTCATGATAACGGGCACCGTTTTCATTACTCCTACACCTTTGTTTCTTTACCCAGAGCTGGGAATGCTAATGCGGTGCGTATCTGTGGCCTCCCGGGCACAGTGCCTGGCAGGACTGGGCCCTTACATGTCTGTGGGATGAGTCATTGAACAACATGAGACACACTCTGGAAGGAGTTTGGTCCTATAGACAGAGTGGAGTAGAGGTGTTGGGGCATCTGTCCTGAGCAAAAAATAGAGAAACAAGGCGGGTTCCCCATTCTGGAGGGACTGAGGGGGCCCAACGGTCAAGGTCAGGTGCAGGGAAGGGAAGGAGCCTGCGGCAGAGCAAGGCTGACACCCTGAAACGGTGGTTGTGAGGAGAGCCCAAACTCCTTCAAGCTCTGACTTCCACTGCTGGGTGATTACGGAGACCAGCAGGGTGACCCGAGGATGGCAGTCACTGGCCCCAGAGGTAGATGGAGGAAACCTTCAGGGGCTCGGAACCAGGCCCACATCACTTAGAAATAATGAAAAATAATACAAAATAGTAATTTAATGTTTGAGTTTCCTAAACCTCAAAATCTTTGGCACGATAGCTATTCTGTATTTACAACAAAACCTCAATCATCAGAATCCAAACATCCTTAAATGTCCACACGAAGATCCAGGCTCTGTCTTGGGGTCCATGCAAATCCAGCCCCGTCCCCATCCCGTCTGTGGTTTGCATGCGCAGGCCCCATCCACGGGGACTGATGTTCAGCGTCTGAGATTCTCACAACTGAAACCAAAGGAAGGTTAGACCACGGTCACTGTAGTCCGGTGACTGGGGAGAGAAATTGGACCCCTGCCTCTTGGAATGAAAAAAGCCAAGTTTCCAGAGAGGGGGATGGGAGCAGAGACACAGTAAATGCCATCCGTGGAGGATTGGGTGGGGGGCACCAAATGCACCCGTTCCAGGCTCCCACCCCACAGGGACGTAAGGTCTGGCTTGTGAACAAAGCACGTGAAGAGCCTAGAATCGTCAACCTGCATCCCATACGGACCTAGAAAAACGGAAACCCCTCTGTGCAAACTGTGCTCATTCAGAAAACCGGGTGCAGCATAAACACTCGGGGTCCACTGTCTGAACATAAAGCAGATCCAAAGGTGACATTCACCTCCCAACTTACTGCCCTTTCCCAAACGACCCAGCCTGACCTCTGACCCGCAAAAGACTGTGTTATTAGATGTGTCTATGAGCCCTATGAGCAGTGATCAAATCAGGACGCTGCCCTGGACGGTTTGGCTCCGTGGTTAGAGCGTCGGCCTGTGGTCCAGAGAGATGGGTTCGGTTCCCAATAAGGGCACGTACCTCCGTTGCGGTTTGTCCCCGGCCCCGGTTGGGTCATGTGGGTGGCAGCCACTCCATGTGTCCCTTTCACATCGATGTTTCTCTCTCTCTCTCTCTCTCTCTCTCTCTCTCTCTCTCCTTCCCACTCTATCTGAACAAAAAATGTCCTCGGGTGAGGATAAAACAGAAAAATCAGGCCCCTCACCGTGCCCCTGATCTCCTGGTAGCCCGCGAGGCAGTCTGTCCGCGGTGTTAGGCCGGCAGTGGCCATTCTGACCTCATCCTCTCAAGCTCGTAGGCCGTTTGCTGCGCGCTCCGGAGCAGCAGCCGGGGAAAGAGCTGGAGTTTCCGCCCGTTTTTCTCCCACCAGGATGAGGCTCCCGCCCAGGCCGAGCGCCCCTCCGGCTCAGGCTCAGGCGCCAGCTGCGCTCGGTGAATGCCTGCGTCTCCGGCCCAGGGGGAGCCGGGCTTCGGGGACTCGCTTTGTAACTGGCCTCCTGGCTTCTGCATCATCCACCCTGGTTTGCACGTGCATCAGTCAGGGTCCGTTTCCTTCCATGACTCTGGGGATGTGCCTAGAAGAAGACCCTGGGAAAGCACACAAACAAGGAGAAGCACCCCCCCCCCTTTTCCCGAGCAACCATGCTGCGGAGATGACCCTCCTGTAGCTTCGGGTGGCTTGTGAAGGAGACGCCCTGGGGTAGGGTCATCCCAGCGGAAGGAAGCGATCTGTCCTCGCGGGTGGAGCCAGCTCTCGAGGTCGGCGGCTGGGCTGCAGCGTGTGATTCTGCCAGGAGTGGGAGACACCAAAGGGAAGCTCTGGACCCTTCATTACCGAGGCCACCCCGTCCTCCCATTGGCTGCTCCCCAGCCACAGCTTTACGTCCATCACGTGACTCCTTCCTTTACTTCCCGGGTGTTCTGTGCGATCACGTGTGAAACGGTGTCCTTTACAGACGAGCATTTGGGCACAGCCTGTCTGGTAGCATCATTTGTCGTTGAGTTCATTTTTCTAAAGAAGGGGAGTTCTGTCTTTTTAAAATTTATTTTTAAAAATCTTCTAGTGAGGCATGATTTACAAACAGTAATATACACACATGTTAAACGTAAAGCCTACTTTTTCCTAGTGGGTATAAAGCCATCTTGGGAAATTGGGTTAGAGCATGTGCACTAATCCATCATCCTGAGTGACATTATCCAGAAGGCCATGGTGGTTCTGTTTACAAATACAGTTGAGTCCCCACTTAACGTAGTCGACAGGCTAATGGATTTAAACATGAATTAAGCTCCTGCAGCATATTTCTGTATGTCAATTAGTTGGTGGTAAAGTGGGGTTTTGTTATTACATCGTTTCCCTTAAAGTTACAGTTTCCCAGAACCTGTTGACAGTGGTAAGTGAGGACTTACTACAGACCAGGCGGTAATGAACCCACGGCTGACCTTTGTGAAGGGAGACTGGGTCAAGGCCAAGCGCTTTACGTGGGTTCTGTCGGAGTTTGCAGAACTAATCCAGTTTAAGAATGAGATGGGGTTTCTGAAAGATCCTCGGCCCAAGGACGCTTCCTGGAGATTCTGACTCAGCATCCAGGGTGGGCGTCATGAACCCCACCCTGTTTCCGACAAGCACTGGGCAGATGCAGCCCTCCGTGTTCCCACAGTTAACCCTCACAACCCCAGGAGGTTTAGGTTTCATTTCCAGTTCACAGACAAGCAAACTGAGGAGCTAAGAGGTGAAGTAATTCACCCCCAGCTAGGAAGACAGACCTGAGGTTCTGTTCTGAGTCACCCTGCGGCCTCCCAAGAGCATGTTCTAATTCCCTGGGGTGTAGTGGCTCTTTGAATACGCTGAGTGTATCACAGAAACATTTCCTGGGCCTTCCTGACAACTTAGTCCTCACATCTACCGCAGAGTGGGTATGACGACAAAAAGATGATGACTGCACTAGTCAGCTCCGCTGCCACCGCGAAATGCCATGGATTGGTGGCTTCAGCAAAAGACGATCACTCTCTCACAGATCTGGAGGCTGGGAGTCCAAGGCCAGGGGCCAGCATGGTCAGTTTCTGGTGAGAGCTCTCCTCTTGCTTTGTAAAGGTGCTGGCCGTCTTGCTGCGTGTTCCCATGACTTCTTGGTGCACACTCGGGGGGAGAGAGATCTCCCTGGTGTCTCTTCTTTTAAGGACGCTAATCCCATCAGAGCAGGGCCCCTCCCCTTTGACCTCACTTAATCGTAATGACCTCCTTATTGGCCCTATTTCTAAATATTATTGGCCCTATCTCTAAATATAGTTTCATTGAGGGTTAAGGCTTCAACGTAGAGTTGACGGGGCGGTGATGGGTAGAAGCTGATCGATAGCGATGGCATTAAGTGCAGTGTTATTTAGCAGGACGCCTGGCACACAGCAGGACTGAGCGATGGGCCAGCCCCTTGCCTCCGCCTGGGCGGTGCCGGGAAGCATGATTCAGAATGTCAGAGACTGTGCTTGCACAAGAAGACCTGGCCGGGACTACTTCCTGCCAGTAAGAAACAGGTTTCTTCTAAAATTGAGCTACTCCCTCCGACAGTCCAGAGTTGATTTGTGTATTTGTTTAGGTATTTTTGTTTGTTTGTTTTAGGCCCAGGTCCATCTAATTTGTATTTTTCTGGAAGGTGAAAATTTGATTGTGTTCATAGCAGTGGCCCAGACATGCCCACGTGTTCTTGGTGGCGACCACCAGGCACAGACATTGACCAGTCGTCGCCGCCCCCTCTGGCGAGTGTCTGTGGTACTGCAGCGCGTTATTGGTGCAATTTATAGCAGCGCACTCGGGCAGTCTGCAAACACGTTGAAGTTCTAGCTATTCTCGTCCCTCGGCTTTTTATGAGTCCTTGGGAAACATTTTCTGCTTACCCAAAGCTTATTTGATGTTGCTGAATATTTTTAAAAAATCTTGCCCATATGGAGTCAGTATGTTGGTTTCTGTCACTGTGGTCAAAATCGGCAAGTGAGATAGGTCTACAGAGAGCAAGGATGAAGGTCACGATGTTTCTGGAACTCGAGAGGACGCCGAGCCC